GGTGAGGTCCATGGACGAAAAGGCAAAAGGTGAGGAGAGATGGGGAGTGGCTACATTCCAGCTTGCAGAATGACCTGTAGTCTTTGTTTGGTCAGACAATCTCGGCGTAATGACCTGTAGTCTTTGTTTGGCCAGACACATGTTTTATTGAGCCTATATTAAGGCAACGGGGACCAGTCCCTGATACTGCTCGCTCGCCTCCCTTTTCTCTTTTCTTTTTTTACCAACAAAAAGCCGTTTCTTTAGAGGCTCTTGGAAATGCTCTTTTACCAAGAGTACAATTTGCTAACGCGTAATCGTTGTCCATTTAATTAGCACGATTAATCACTATAATAACGTGTCGTAAATAAAAACATCTTCCTGGTACGTGCACGCTGCAAGCTGGAGTGATTATCAGTTCGATTCAAGGGTGCACTCACCGGAAAGAGCAGAGCGACGCTGACGGCACCACCCCTTCGGGCACGGACAATGGCCCGCCCGTCGAGGCGGTGACACCGAGCAGGAGATACTCGACCCACCCGAGGTCGCCGTTGTTGCCTATCCGCTTGCTTGCGTAGCCGAACGGACTGCCCGGCGTCGCGGCCGACATCGCCGCCTCCTTGTCCCGCTGCGAGAGCGCGAAGAAGGCGGCAGCGGCGTTCTCCACGCGCGCCAGGAGCTCTGCTGGCACGCGGTGGCCCGTCACCTTGAAGAACCCGTGCTCCTCGCACGCCGCCGCCACCGCGCGTCCGGCGGCCGCCCGTCCATCAGAGCCGCTTCCCGCCACGGCAAGGTCGACCTCCGGCATGTTGGCCAGCGGCGGCGCCGTCTTGTGCACGGCCGGGAGCGCGATCTGCTCCAGTTCGCCCTTGGCAAGAACCACCATGGTTACAAAGCAGATGAAGCACAGAGAGCGTCTGCTGATGAACTAGAGGGTGTCAGTCAGTTTGTATCCAAGGAACAGAGGAGGAATGGAGAAGGCAGTTAGGTTGACATGGAAGGGAGACCAAGGGCGTGGTCTCACTTTATATAGGCATGGGGGAGAGGTCAGAGCAGAGGTGCGTGTATCAGCGGTGTATGAGTGCGATGACACCACAACACAATGGGGTCTGACGGTTAGCTGTCTCGGTAGGATACAGTGCACTGTAGCGATATCCTGCAAATCGTATTAATGGGTCTCAATCATGACAGGGTTAATCGACATGATTTTGCAGGGCCGTAGGTGCATCTGGATCGCTATGCATCTCATCTCATGTTGCCGGCTAGATTCATCTTATATTCTCAAATCAAAAAAGAAAAAAAAATCTACTAGGAGTAGATTCATCTGCGCTGCCACATTAGAATCTCGGCGCGCAGGAAGACGAAACGGAGGCATTTTCCGGAGATAATTATGAGTGGGAAACGGAGGACATGTTTGAGCCTATCTTCTGGATCAACAACCCATTGCTTTACACGGCAGATTGTGTCATATATGTTCTGGAATACCACTACTAATTCATACGTACATGCACGGACCGAACGAACATGTACGCATGGCAGGCCCCAACTGACAAAACGGAAATATCCCGTACGCATGCGTGGCAACTTATATAAATATCGCAAGAAAACCCCGTCACCTTGCCGCGCTCGGATCTCTCATCATGGACGAGCACTTTCTCCAAAGGACAGGATATACATGCTTCGTTTTTCTACGATACTAGATGACTCGTTGCGCCAATGACGCAAAGAACGAGTGGGAGCCAAGTATTGTGAGAATATTTAGACATCCAAGTTGACCAAATGTGGCCAACACTCACGCATCCTCTGCTTGGAAGCCGTCTTTTCTCACCGGATCTAACATAGATACATGATTCTTCAAGAGCAAATTTCAAAGAAAATATAAAGCATGGAAGGTTTTAAGTTGTACTATTGAGACCATACCACCATATCTTCATTTAGTGTGTTTGGAAATCTAAAGGTCTAAGAGGATGGTACATGTGAGAAGATGTGAATCCACAACAAAAAACTAAACCAACTTCCAAACAAACATTTCAAGTTTGGAAGCCACAAAGAAGCAGCCCAGATCTCTCGTTGTAGTGCAGGTACATGTCCTTAATCCTGCATCCACAACACATAATTTTTCAACACCTAAATCCACGAAATCCAACCGAAGGAAATCATGGCAAAAACATGTGCCGTGGCTTACGTATCTGAGAAGGACTTCTTGGCATTCTTGCGCAGGTTGGACACAACAATCCTTGCTACGAGGTGCAGAAGAACCACACAGGCACCTTCCTTCACCTTGCCCTTGGGGAGGAGGGGGGCAACACTTGCAGCGCCGCGACAAGGCTTTGCGAACGCCGTCGGCGAGAGCGCGCAACAGAGGGCGTCGAGAGTGGCAGCGGCCTCGGCCTCAACGCAGGCATAGTGGCGGCGCGACTCGAGGCAACACACAAAGCGATCGCGCTGGAGCAGCACGCTATGCACAAATGTGTAGGCAAGTAACAAAGATTGGTCAAAGGGAAACAAATTGTCCAAAAAAAGAAAGGTTTTATATATTCTCAATGTACCCAGCCATAAAATCAGATGCTTCTTTATTAACAAAATGAACACACAATTAAGCCGGAATAGGAGGTGTACAATCATGTACTGACAAAATCCAGAGGGGTTAGATTATGTTCAAATGAGATAAATCATCAAGGTTCAAATGATAGAAAATGTTGGGTCCGATGCACTGATTAATGTTACAGCACACATCCAAGCTAGACATCTTTTCTGTCCCTCTATCCCTACTATTTGAAAACAAGGATCTCCACTGATAGAAAGATGCCAAGGAGAACCAGAATAAGGACAATAAGCAAAGTAAAGATTTGAAAAATAAGAACAGAGCGTCTTCAAGACTACCTATGTATTCATTCAGAAAATCAGAAGCACCTCAACTAACAATTGAAAAAGGTGCCTGAAATACAATCCCAAACATTCTACATGAAGCTATAGGAAATCAAAGGAAATAAAAATGTCTGCAGCACATAATACTTTTAGGAGATCAGGTGTACAGTCCCATACAAATATGAGGCATGTGTCATACAATCTCTAGATTCAAAAGAGTTGCATCATACCTATATGTACACAGTTCCTAATGCATTCACATATTTTTTTTACAACCCATACGATAATCCAAGCAAGGTTTTTCTTTCTTGACATTTATCAGGAGACAAAATGCAGTATAGTATACCCAAGGAATAAAGTAAAAAATAACAAAAGAATGTCTAGTACTAACACCACGAGCTTAGAGCATTATGTGTGTTGTTGTACAAATGATACAACCTTGTAACATTGGTACAGTTGCGCTGCCTACACACAACAAGATAATCCTTGTGAATAAATCCCCCATTGCAAGAAACAAAAGATGGTTCATATAAGCAAGTACAACATTAATTTAAATCAACTGTGTTTTCCCCTGCTACATTCATAAGCTTTGTCTAGCTCTGTGAATGGTGTCAATTTTCAGCTCATCTTTATTCTACAACATGCATATATTATACAAAACAAATGGATAAGCAAAAATAAATGAAAAGGTGCAAATGGTCATTAGCAAGATAAATCGAGAATAGCTCAATATTTACTTGTTAAATACACATGATAGGGAACATAGAGGTCCTTTGATACATTTCTCCTGAATAATCAGATGGTCGATTTGAAAGTACAACAGTCATATTAGTGTGCCCGTTGTATCAGTTTTATGGTTGGAATACAGTCTCCCTGCATAAAAGCAGATCCAAACAGCCAAGTCAAATGTTCAAAAGGTCTATGTATGTAACTAAATCAAACACATGCTACTCTCCCAAGCACGATCTGGTTCACATGAATTAGATACAAATTATTTAAATAAACAAATGGGAAATACATGCTACTCTCCCAAGCAAAACCAGAAACCTGACTCAATGACCGGAGGCCAAGTTCACATATGCTCTAGCCATGATTCCCCCCAATTTTCTGCAACCAAAATGGATGTGCATGATTAATTTAGCAGTAGGTACAAGCACACATGTAACAAGGGACAATCCTAACTTGGGTTTTAGAGGCAAGAAAAAGTCAAAAACTGAAGATGTGCGCATGACTAATTTAGTAGCAGGTACAACGTACAACCACAGACTTAACAGGGGACAATCCTAACCTAGGTTTCAGTAGGAAATGGTTGAAGAACAAACACATCGGCCTTCCTCCTTGTTCGATTCATCACTCCCCACTTAAAAAAAGATTTACGTAGTTCAGTAATAAGAATAGTAGTAGCACATTGTTTCATAAGATTTTATATGACAGAAATTTAGACGGGCTAAACTAAAAAAAGCTAGAGCTGTGTGGGCATGGAAGAAGAAGAAACCGAGTGGACTAGGATATCACCAGGAGCTTGGGCGTTTGGGGCGAGAGACTACCACTCACCAGATATGAGCAAGTACTCCAGATCTTTGTCTGACGTAGTTGTTTGCTGCGTATTCAAGACGAAACTTTTTAATATGTTTGTATTGCACGACTTCTCCTAGAGAATAGCTGCATAAATGCAATTCTGAAGTCCGAAGTAACTAAGGTCCGAATCATCAACACCTACCAAGGTTCTGAATTTCTGTAGGCAATACTTCCAGTTTGGATTAGAACCGTCAGTTTTAGTACTTTAGTAGTTAGTTTTATATATCTAAATATGCAGGAATGTAGTCGTCAGTATTAGTACTTTAGAGAGTATGAGCTTCTGTAATTCATGGTGAGAATTCATCTCTATGGTGACACGGTGTGCATCAATTCAACTGATTTAGTTACCTTGTCCATATTGGGCACGAGGTCTTGCAGCCTCCTTAGCCTCTTGCTATTGCTTGCTCTTCTTTCCTAAATAGCATAAGCAAGAAAAATATTCAGTTCAAACATGTGGCACCAAGACAAACACCAAAAGTATTGCAGGAAACTAACTAACCCTCTTAGCGATGCTCCATGGGTGAGTGGCGCAGCCATGCTTGGTGCGGACTGTGCAAGCGATGAAGTCCTGCTGCAGCTGCAGATAGTCGTCCATGCGGGGCATGTCCAAATACATGGTCAACATGCCAAACTGAATTTGATCCAAGGTGTTAGTAGAAGTGTAGCATTAAACAATTGATGGGCAGCAGAGTGCGGATGGATGTGAAGTGTATACATGTGAAGCTTATCCTACTTGGGATTCGATTTTGCTGAGGCTGGTGACCATGCCGCCATCGCTGTTGATGGGCACCTTGGCCTTCTTGCTTCCGGGTGTGGAGAACATGATATTGGAGTTGGTGTCATCCGAGGAGCTGATGGAGAAGCTCTTGGAGAGGTCTTTGGAGCCGTTGTCGACCGTGATGCTCTCACCGACGTCGGCCGACGGCATCAGCGCGGGCATGGCCATCCCCATCTCCGTGTGGCATAATGTCCTGCTGCCTCGAGTAGCTCCACACCTGCATATACTTTGTAGTCACATAAGCCAAACCATGAAAGGACATGAGTGGCACCTGACTTATCTAGAAAGCTAACAGTATTGGGGGATCAAAGAAATAACAGAGAGTAATATACTTTGTAGTCACATAAGCCATACCATGAAAGGACATGAGTAGCACCTGACTTTGTTGAATTGCAAGAAATCATGTTAAAGTAAGGATTCCCTTTAAACCAGCAGCCTCTCTTCACCTGATTAGAAGAGAGTAAATTCCTTTCCCCTCATATGTGACGTCTGAAGCTTGACATCCTTACTGCCATAAAATTTATCCTCTAAATCCCCATCCCACCAGACAAGTTGCACACACACACACACACACACACACACACAATTAAAATCTCTTTATCCTCATTGGGGTCGTAATCAAGCATTGTAAATACATATAAACAAAAAGAAAATGCAAACCTAAAAATTGTGCAGGAAAATTCAGAGAACTATAGGGAGAAACACGAACCTGGGATGGTGCTCGGCCAGGATGGGCTCTTGCGCCGTCACATGAGTAGTACCTGACTTTCTCGTTCCCCAATGTTGTCCTCCTGCTGTGGCCGCGGGGACGATGCCGATGCATGTGATAAAGAAGGTTACGACCCTATGGTGGCAATCTCATCAGGGTCATTCTCCTTCTCCCATATCTGCCTGCTTGCTCCCTGCCTGCTCCACCAAGCGGACAAACTCAAGCCTATGGGGAACAAGAAAAATGATGAATAGATCAATCTAACTAGTAGCAAACGAACTGATTTTCTTGGTGGTGAGGGCTCACGGATTGGGGAGGATATAAGTGATGAAGCCATGTACCTAGGGTAGGGTCATGGACCTGTCCAAGATACCCTCCCCAAGGACATCTCTAGAGGAAACCACCTTTCAGTCGACCTGGAAGAGTTCCACTCGACGGACTCGAAGACACTCGACCATGAAGCCAACCACTCGACCGCCAGGAGATCTAAAGTCACTCTGCACGCAACGATCTGTCATTAAGTAGCCTTTATGGTCATCATAACACTTTATTTGTGGCGTTACCAGTAACGCCCGACCTTAATGTACCTTAAACCCTGCATAACTGAGGGCCGGAGGGGTCTGGCAGACTCTATATAAGCCACCCCCCTCATCAGTGTAAAGGGCTCGCACCCCTGTAACTCATACACACGTAATACAGTCGACCACCTCCGGGCTCCGAGACGTAGGGCTGTTACTTCCTCCGAGAAGGGCCTGAACTCATAAACATCTTGCGTATACAACTACTCCATATCTAGGATCTTGCCTCTCCATTCCTACCCCCCTATTCTACTGTCAGACTTAGTACCACGACAGTTGGTGCCCACCGTGGGGCCGGTGTCTTAGCAACTTATTGGAGAAGTTGCGATTTTTTCGATCTCCTTCATTATGGTTTCAGGCGGAGTTTTGGTTGAGGGCCGCGAGATCCGTCTCGGCGCGCTCACGTTCATCGGCGACGACTCCGCTTGGCTTCAGGAGGCTCCGCTCGACGTCGATGTGCACCCTATCCGCGGGGCGACGCACTTTCGCGCGTGCGTCCGCGGCGTCCTCCTGCGACAACCGTCGACCCAGTATCGGTCGACCCCTGTGTCATCCTCCCTCCCTGTTTCTCGCCGGCGCAAGCGCTTCGGTCGATCGAGGCTTCAACGGTGGGTGAGGCACGCGGTGGCCCTCCAGTCGGCCACCCCCCAAGTCGCGGCAATCGAGCCCGATGAATCTCTCTACGGCCTGTTCGGTTTGTCGGATGGCTCTGTAGAGACTGTATCCGAGTGCGACAGCAGTGATCCAGCGGCGGAGGTTATGATGGTCAATGGACCACGCAGTCCTCCCGGCTTTCCCTGCACCGACGGAGGCGGCGACGGAGGCGATCCGGCGCAGGTCCACAAAGAGTATCAACCCGAGCCCCTCACTTCGCTGCAGAGGGAAGAACTTCACCGCCGGAACATGGATGCGCTACACACTCCTATCATCGGAGAAACCCCCGAGGCTCGTGCCTTAGAGGATGCACGCTTGGCTAACTTGGCTGAGCGCACTCGACTGTAGAACCTTCAGCGAGCACTCGACGAGCGTGCGCGGCAACAGGTTCCAGAAACCAGTCGACGTCAACTCTTTCCACCACCGACTCAGGTATATCGAACTCCAATTCAGAATTTAG